GTGCTGAAACTGAAGCACAAACAGATTAATGTCCCTGGTGTAGGTGTTGCTGGGGCACTGAGAATAATCCATTCTCAGATGTCAGGTGGGTTATTTCTTGGGCTGGAAGTTAAAGCTTCCTGATTCTAACATTTATGAAAAGGTAGCTGCACTTACAGAGGAGCACAATAGGTGTTTCTGGTGACTGTCACTCAACGGCAGTGCAAGTGGGACAGAGCAGGGCCAAAGGACAGAAGGCTATTACCCCTCTAGCACTTACCTCCTGTTTAATTAGACAAGCAAATCAGTAGGTGCATCAGAGGGAACACAAAATTCTTCTAAAAAACCTGCAGTGTTGTAAGCTTTCCCTGAAACCCAGCATCAGAGGGAACAGAAAATTCTCCTAAAAAACCTGCAATGTCATAAGCTTTCCCTGAAACCCAGCTAAGAGAGCTGGGCACTTCCAAGCAGGGATCAGAGCCAATCAGAACTAGTTAAAATGCATGCACAACACCCATAATCATCTTCGATTTACTAATAAGTATTTAGTGACTCCTAATTTTAAATGAAGCCATGAGGACTGGGCTGAGCAGTGAAAGAACAAGCCTGCAACACTTACTGGAGTTTACTCACCAAGTTACAGCAGGAAAAAACAAGGGGCTATTTTTGACTTTCTAATTAAGCTTGTTCTAAAATGCCCTGACCACCAGCTGGTTAGGTACACAGAAAGAAAGAAAGAAAAAAAAAAACAAGAAAAAAAGTAATTAAAGAGCCTTTCTTGCCTTGATATTGGATAGCTGTTTTTTGGCCTTTAGGTGCATGTTTCCAAATAAAAGGCAGCCCTTCATCATCAGATGAAATTGCAGAAAACAAGACTCACTCTTTCCATCTCCAGAGCTCCCACTGCAGCATTCAACTAACCCCCCTCTGAACAGTCAGTCCCAACACAGGGAAATGTAACCTCCATCACCATGACACTCCCAGGAAATCGACACCTATCAACTACCACAGAATAATTAAGAAAGGATAAAAAGACAGCTGCTTTCCTTCTGTTTTTTAATCATGGATCCAGCCCCTTAAGAGATTGCTAGGCTAGAAGAGACTTAAAGAAGATTAGCTTTTTCATTAATGTTGGCATTGAGGGGACAGTTTCAATAACTTCCACCGGGTATGTTTTTAGCAGTGAGGCAGGCAGCTTGTTCAAATGGTACCTCATTGTATATCTGAGATTATAACTGAGATTAATTCTGAGCCCAGAGAGCATGGGAGGCTTTCCAAATCAATCTTTCTTTTTTTTTTTTTTTTTTTTTTTAAAAAAAATAGAAAGAAAAATTTAAAAGAAAGAAAAAAGAAAAAACCTGGTGTGGTTTGATGGGTTGACCCTGTTTGGGTGCCAGGTGCCCACCAAAGCTGTTCTGTTACTCCCCTCCGCAGCTGGACAGGGGCGGAGAAAAGGCTTGTGGGTCAAGATAAGGGCAGGGAGAGATCACTCACCAGTTACTGTCAGGGGCAAAACAGGCTCAACTCAAGGATATTTGTTTAATTTATTACCAATTGAAACAGAGTAGCCTAATAAGAATAAAAACCAAACCATAAAACACCTGCCCTCCACCCCTCACTTCTTCCCAGGCTTAACTTCACTCCTGATTTTTAATGTCTCCTCCCTGCCACTGGCTTTCTCAGGAGGACTCCTCACACTCTCCCCCTGTTCCAGCATAGGGCCCCCCCATGGGAAAGTCCTCCACCAACCTCTCCATCAGACCTTCCCACAGCCTCCAGTTTTTCACCAGCTGCTCCAGTGTGAGTCCCTCCCATGGGGTGCTGTCCTTCAGGAACAGGCTGCTCCAGTGTGGGTCCCCCACAGGGTCACAATTCCTGCCAGCAAACCTGTCAGCACGGGCTTCTCTCTCCATGGGGCCACAGGTCCTCCCAGGACCTTGCTCCAGCATAGACTTCCCATGGGGTCATAGCTTCTTTTGGGCATTCACCTGCTATGGTGTGGGCTCCTCCATGGGCTGCAGGTGGATCTCTCTCCCCTGTGGATCTCCATGGGCTGCAGGGGCACATCCTGCCTCCCCAGGGTCTGCACCACAGGATGCAGGGGAATCTCTGCTCCAAGGCCTGGAACACCTCCTCCCCCTTCTTCTTCACCGACCTTGGTGTCTGCAGGGCTGTTTCTCTCACATATTCTCTCTCATCTCCTCAGTTGCTGTTGTGCAGGTTTTTTTCTCCTTCTCAAATACACTACCTAAGGTATTGTACTGCTGCCAGGACAGTACCACTGTCACTGATGGGCTTGGCTTTGTCCAGTGGTGGATCTGTCTTGGAGCCAGCCAGGATTGGCTCTATCAACATAAAGGAAGCTTCTGGCAGCTTCTCAGAGAAGCCATGCCTTCGGGCCCCCCTCACTAAAACCTTGCCACACCAACCAAATACGTGTAGTCAGGATGCCGATCCTGTAGTCAGGATGCAATAAGTTCATTTTAAACAATAATTATACTTTTCCCTACTTTTTTTTCTTGAAGATCTGCAGTGATGTATTCAGACACAAATTAGAGAAAGAAAACTATTATTGCCCCCATTTTCAAGAGGAAATAATAATAAAAAAATGAAAATATTCTAAATGAACTTTTAAATTCTATTTATAACATCAAGTAAGTTCAAAGTTTATTGAGGAAATCAAACATGCACTTATGACTTAGGTGTGTAAGTTAAAGCTTTTTGTTAACTGTGAGAGTTAACAAGTTCCAAGTATAACTCTGACATACTTTTATACACAACCAAGTACATGCCCATGATAAAATATTTGTTTTCATGCCACATATTGCACCATGGAACGGTTTGGGTTGGAAGGGGCCCTAAAGATCCTCTAGTTCCAAACCCCTGCTGTGGGCATGGACACCATTCCCTTGACCAGATTGCTCCAAGCCCCATTCAACCTGGCCTTGAACACTACAAGGGATGGGGTATCCATAACTTCTCTGGGCAACATCTTCCAGTGTCTCACCACCCTCACAGTAAAGAATTTCTTCCTAATATCTAATCTAAACCTACTCTCTTTCAGTTTGAAGCCATTCCCCCTTGTCCTGTCACTACATGCCCTTGTATAAAAGCGCCTCTCCAGCTCTCATCAGTCCTTCTCCAGCTTTTTGGACTGACAGCTCTTCAGAGTGGCAATGAAATCATGTTGGCCAGACAATACTTTCAATGTACCATTTTTACACTATGCCAGTGTTATTTCACACTTGTTCCTACAGAGATTTTAAAGCACAGGTTCTCAAGAATAACCTCTCTTAGAGATGCCACAAGGGAATGCAAGAGAAACTTAAAAGGGTTTCAACCAAGCTAACTTGATAAAATATCAATCCCAAAGATTGGCAGCTCAGATATACTATTCCATCTCTAATTAATCAGAAGCTTTCTTCTGAAGAGTGAGAAAAAGAGAGGATTTTTTTCCCCTTTGTGTATCTCCAGTGCTTCATGGCTGGGCAGTTCCAAACCTGTACCCCCACTGATACTGCAACCAAGACTGAGCTCAGTGGGAAAGGTACAAGTAAGGGATGGAAATAACTATCGACACCCACCTTTGAACACTTTGCATCCACAAAATACCTTCTCTTGCAAATCAGACCATGTGGAAGGAGAGGGAAAGGGGCAGACATTAGGAGCACAGCAACCTTCCAAGGGTCTTGTCACTGAATTTGAATGCCGGTGACTGTGAATGCAAGATCATGGGATTCAGGAACTAGATGATGTAGCACAACTGATAAACCCTTTCAGAGTATTTCTAAGGAGCAAAGTCATTCAAGAACAGAATGCACTTTTCACAGAGGGCAGCTGATCAGTGTTTAGGGGTTTCAAATGAAGATTTCACTCCTTTTTTTTTTTTTTTTAAATCATTCAAGTATTAAGACCTTAGCATGAGAATGATGTGGCAAATTTCAACAATTTTGTTGTTATGCAGGAGGTTGAACGAGGCAAGCAAAATACCCCTAAGCTGTGAGATATGGGAAGGATTAATTGTCCTTTTAGGAATCGCAGTTGGATTGATATGACATAGATGTATCAAGCTTTCCTGACATTCCTTGGAAGCTCTATCCTTTTCAAAGAGATAAAATGCAACCCCCTAGGTTTCCATATTACAGGAAGACAGGCTGCTGCTGCTGCTGCTTCTACAAACACAACTTTAGAGTCTCCCGTAGGACAAATTTCAGGTGAGTCAGCTTTGAGACAGAGACTGTTTAGAAGAACAGTCAAAAAAAACAAAACCAAAAAAGGTAACACAGTCTCCCACAGCACAAAAATTTCACCACCACCCCTGCAAACAAAAAAACCCAAGCCTGCAACTGCCTGCCAACCAGGAGAAAGTATAAAACACCCTGAACAGCCTGATGCACAGCCTTGACACACTGTCAAGGAATACTGGGTTATGGTAATAATATTGGTTTGGAATATCCAAACCACAGCAAGTGTTTGGACACGCATTAAGCACAAACTTAAAAGGATCAGCTTTCTGAAAGTTAAAAAAGAATTGCCTCTATTTTTAACACACATTCATAAATCACTGGCATTTTACTTCCAGTGTACAATCAGCACTCAGAGCATATTTAGTTCAGAGGCATGCTGCTTGCTGTTGTCTTTGCTGACAGAATGCTATCAGGCATCCTTTGCTCTGTAGCATGGACTAATGATAGTTTGTTGGCATATCTAGGTTGATTCTTGAAATAAATAAATAGGAAGTAGTAAAAATATCATCCCCACCTTAACAACTCCAGTTGTGCCAACCAGTTGTCTGGGTGCATGCAACTGCTGGGTGAAGCTCCGGCACAGCAGCGGTCACACAGAAACTCCCCTCAGAAGTACATGTTGTGTGCACAGCAAAGGAAGTGAGGACAAGACAGTAACTTCGAAAAAAAAAACCAAACACACAAACAGAAGAAAAAAAAGAACAACCCAGAGCAATTTCAGCATCACTTGGAGAATTAGCATCATTAAAAATGCCATATTAACCAAAAGAACAATTCACTTAATGCAATGAAAACTTTATTGAAGGAAAAAACCAGCACTTGCAAAGATTTCACTTCATTACAGAGAAAGCTGTACATTAGGGAAAAAGGTATTTATCAAAGTAGAAATAGAACAGTGTAAATACACAGAAAAAGGACAGTAGCAAACAGAATCGGTAACAGTATAAAATAACGTGGGGAATTTCTGAGTTTGGTTTTTATTTTACAAAACAATTCCACAGCTGTTAGAAAAATTTAGTGGTCACATCACAGCAAGGCACGTGGTTTTAAGAAAATACACCATTTCTGTGCTTTCCTTCCAACATGGTTAGCATTTGCTGTGGTTGTAAACATCAGCATTAAGACAAATGTGTTTAAACATCCTCCTCAGTTTTGACAGTCTACAATAGCACAGTGATCTTACCTTCATGAACATGATTAAGTACCAAAATTAAGCAAGACAGTGTTCTCAGAAGTTCCGAGGCTCTTTCAATCTCTGAGCACACAGCAAGAGGGGACGAGCTTCAAGCACCCACACTGCTCCACAGGCAGTTCTCAGAACACGTATTTCTGACCACTCGTAAGGGACAGTGCCATGAGCCTCTAAAGGCATTGCTGCCTCCACCAGCTGCATCCACCCACAGGTTACGATAGATTCAAGCCCATCATCCTGTTCCTAGCTGGAAGCCATCCCATAGTAGTCTGCAGCCTCCCTCAAATTTGCATATTCACCTACAGAGCCTAACACACTTTCTTTTTTAAAACATGATTTCTGAAAAGACTTTCAACTTGGTGGAGAAAATATTTCTTGCTTTTTTGTAACAGCTCATGAACAATCTCATTACTGTAAATACTAAATGAGATGAAGTTGTTCACCTCATCAGTGTCTAATCATCTCAGATAGTACCAGCATTCACAATGGACTTCATGACATAAAACAGAGCAAAACCTTGAAGTAGTGAAAAAAAATTCCCACATTTCAATGTATAGAGTCTCAGTACTTTGGGAACAGATCACCACCACCCTTCCCATTTCCACTTCTACAATAGCTGGAAAGTCAGCTGATCCCAGATAAACACATTTCTTGCTAGAACTGTATGCTAAGGCTGCTTGGTTGAGGTTATGATATCTGGACTGCAAAAACTAAAAAAAGTGGACAAGGCGACCAACAGTGAGGCTAGGCAAAAAGCACTTTCTGGTAGAACACCAAATCCTACTGGGATAGGCACCCAACCTCATACAAGTTTCTTTAGGGAAGTCAGCCTTGAGTTAAGTGCTGTAGGCAACTGAGCAAGGACTTTGGGAAGGAAGGAGCCTTGTGATTTCAACCACAAACATCTCTATCTGCAGTGGACTGTAAACAACAAATATTCTTGCCTTGAACAACATTAAGATAGAAAGCCTCAGAAATGCCCACCATGCTTCCTGCCAAGCTGATAACCAAAGCTGATGATATTAAAACTTAACACAAAGTAGTTTTAAAGACAAAAAAAAAAAAACAAACCAAAACCAGCTTTAATGGTATAATCAAAGTTAGATTGAAAACTAGTCAAAAGGGAACATTCATATACTAGTTTACTCCATGGTTATGTAAAAATCATATAAAAAAAAGTACTTCAATAAAATGGAAATTTCTTTTGCTGTTAAACTTGGCAACAGCCTGAACACAACTACTTATAAATGAATAAGAATCTAAAGAGTTTTGATCTGATAGAGCTATTTTAAATCAAAACTGCTTGTAGATGAAGCAACAAACCCTGAGTATGTTTCACATATTGGCAAGAATACAGCAAATTTATGCTACTATCTGACCTTCACAGGAACAGAGCACAACACCAAAGGGCAACCAAAACCCTAGTGGCACTCTGGTGATCCTTGTGACTTTGCCATCTCTCCTTGGGTTTCCTTCCTTTAAGGGCACAATTGCTTAGCCTCATGTGCTATGCAGTCAAATAAAGATTTGTTCTTCTCTCTTATTCAATAAAGGCTGTGGAGCTGGAATTACAATTTTAAAAATGATAGGATGGGGGAAAGAAAGAAAGAAAAAATTAATTTAAGCTTACCTGCTATCTATTGGTAGTTTCATAAATTTTCTACTTCTAAGTGGCTGTATTCACAACAGTCACCTCAAAGGTTCCAGTTAGCCAATATGCAAGTTGAAAAAATAACATTCAGCACACCCAAATCTACTGTTCTTCTAGAGGAACTGCTAGAGACTCAGGCTACCACAATCCTACCCAAGCTAGCCAAGGAATAAGCAAAAGGCTTTTACTCCTTCTAATGTGAAGTAATCAAAAAAAAGAACACCAGAAGTCAAGTTCCATTATCTTGGCTGCTGATGAACCTGGACTGATGATCCCAATTAACATAACTTTACTGGAAAAGGAAAGCAGACACAATGTGTACTATACTTGTAGCTTTTTTCAGGAACACCCAAAAATTAAAGAAAGATTGGAATGTAAAAGGCATTAGGGTTGCATTTCAATTTCCTCTATACAAAGGAATTCTGTAAACATTATCAAAGTTCTAAGAAAAGACTAACACATGTCCTTTGACAGATGTAAATCAGGTTTTGAACTTACTCCCTGACAAAACACATCAGTTTAGATACTTGTCTTAGATTAGTCAGGGAAAAGAAATATCAGTTTTCTTTATTTCCCAGTCTCCCTTGCGCATTTAACCAGTTCTACTTTTCCAGAAGAGTAATAGTCAACATAGTTTTTTCAACACTAACTTCCAAGTCCTGGGGGAGAAAAAAAGCACTAGGACCTAGCACTTGAACCTTTATAATTAATTTATCCCAACATCAGTGCCATGTTTTCAAAGTGATATTTTCCATTCAAATGCCTTTGTAACAGTAATTCTGGCCAGCTGGAATTCACAGAAAGGTTGTTAAAATTTCCCTTTCATACTATCTGCAAAAGGAAATCCTTTATTTATTTTTTTTAGAGAATCTAAACAGCTGGACGGTACTGTGCTTTATAAATTACCAGAAGGACAATTAAGTTTAAGATTTTGGAATAACTCAATATTTTAGTAACTTTCTGGAAGCCACAGATTTATTTGTCTTCACTGTGGGCTTATAATTTATTGCCAAGTAGATCTAGGTTTTTTCCTACACTAAAATCTTTGTGGTATAAGTCAGGGACATACTTGCTATGCAAACATGATGCTCCCAAATGACTAAACTCTTGGTAGATGGAGCAAGAGAGGCTTCAGTTCCTACCAGAGTCCACTGGATAATCATAATCTTAAACACTGACTCCAGCAAGACAGTTCGGTCAGAGGAAAGGTGACAGCAGTTAAACAGTACCTCACAGAGCAGAAGCAGGACTATGTGCTAAGATATTAAACAACTGACCACTGTAATGGTTTGGGAGTAAATGATTATATGTAGCTCAGAAGATAAAGAGAGTGGCCTTGGAATTTGGATACTGACTGCTCAACATTTGTTAGGAGCTGGCAGCTAGACTGTTACACACTTTCTTTGCTAAGACAGGTAATAGAAAACTGTACTTTCTCCTCAAAGCAGAGGAAGTTCACTAGTATGTGCCAGAGTTTTAGGAGAAACAAAACTGATCCCACTTACAAAAAAAGAAATGTTGGAGTTTTAACTTATTTCCTTTCAGAAGAAAATGTATTCTCCCCGGCCCAAGTTGCTTAAACAACAGCCCATATCCACCTTATCACAGTTTGTCCTTTGAGGAAGGACATCAATAAATTCTCTCTCTGCTTGCCTATCAGGCCCTCAGCTTTGCACTGCTTCTATGCCACAGCTGAGGGAGAAGAGAAGCACCTTGCTTTGTGTGAAAAATTGCAGTTTCCCACCTTGTATATATTGCCATTAGTTGTAAGCAAGGCAAAGGACTCGGGTTCCCAGCAACTGAAAAAATCAATTAACCTTATTTTACAAGTGCATTTTCTACAGGAACAAGTTTTTACAGATGAAAATATCCCTTTCACATATTTTAAGGAAACACCATCCATATAGACTGAAAATTAAATGCTTCATTAAAGATGCAAACATTTCATGGTTAGTCCCAAACTGTCTCTGAGTTTATAATTAAATCTTTTAGAAGTCTCATAAACCTAAAATTTTGCCAAATAGACGGGAAAAGAAAGAACACCAATATTCCATTATCCAAGACAAACAGGGCAAAGATTAGGGACATAAGGCTATTTAAAAAAAACCCCAAGTTGTCAGTAAGAAATCAATTTGCAATTGATTTCTTTTTCTTGAAAAGGAAATTTTTCTTTCTTGAAAAAGAAATTTCTTTTTCTTGAAAAAGAAACTGCCTAGACTGCCACAGTCCCAACAGAGCCAAGGTCTTCATTTTACAGGCTTCGTGTATTACTTTGAAATATTTGCAAAACTAAACACATGAATTTACTTAAGTATTATCATAACAAATTTTGGATTTCTGCCCAGTTCTTCTGCTAGACTGAATTTCACTTGATCACAAGCACCCTGTGATCAAGACACCGTTGCTTGCAAACCCAAGCAATTGCATACACTGGATGTAGCACAAGGAGCTTCTAACAACAAGCTGAGAGGCACGTGTTTTAAGAAGTAGGAAACTACACAACACGGTGATCTTAACACAGTTCTACCTAGAAATTCCTAGAACTTTGTGAAGCATCCGGTATTCCTGTTAGGACAGACAGACTGAAATACATTTCTTCACAGCATCCCTACAGGCAGGAGAGAGAAAAAAAACCAACAGTCACATTAGTTACGCTGGTTGATGAGACTCATTCCGTGCTGCCTATCACACTGACACTGAGGACTGTAAAGATCAGCTGGCCATGGGTTGATTGAACTAACATAATTTGCATGACTGCACAAATGCTTCAGAGACAAGTGGGCCTGCTGACTGTCCACCTGCACACCCACAGTGGAAGGGACACCTGTAAGGCTGCACTGAGGCACTGAAGGCCTCCGTGGGGCTGAAGGGGCAGGAGAGAGAACTGTGTGCTCAGACACAGCAGTGCTCATGGGGGAGAACGGGAAAAAAAGGTACACAGAAGAACACACTTGTTTAGTAGCATTTGAACCAACATTTAGGCATTCCAAAGGCAAGCCTTAGGTTCAGCGCGTGGTCAGCAGACTCACGTATTTTTTTACTTGTGCCCTCGCACTACAGAAGTTGTTTAGTTTTATTTTCAGATTTAACTACATGGATTGCCTACACCATGGAAAATCCTCTAAAGCCACATACTACAATGATCCTATAAAGCAATCTTCTGTATCATTAATTAAATGATAAAAATTAAGGGAGTAGGGAAGCTTACCTTGCATATGGTATGAAGGAAATGCTATACCTAAGAAGAAATAGTTTTGAAAGTTACTCTTAATGTCAGATTTTATTAGTCACAAACAAGAACAACCCTTCTGATACTCTGAACTAAAAGATACACAACTAAAGTGAAGCTTTGAGTTTATGAGCAACAGGAATAAGTATCCTTGCAAGTCATCTTAGCCCAGCCAGGCTGTGAAACACTGTGGTAAAATAGGGGGGCATGTTGTGGAAGCATTTTAAACATAGCTCTCCTGCATCCAATATTCTTCATGCTCCAACACCTACAGACAGGCAAGATTAGTCTTGAAAGCTGGCTATGTGTTCATATCAATTTGTGCACAAGTTCAGTGACCTTGCACAGAGCATATGTTAACATGAAGAACACTGATGATTTGATTGGCATAGCTGGGTCTCCAAACAAGACAAATTCAGGAGAGTGTAAAGGAGGAACACCAGGTAGTAAGCAACAAATTGATTTAAAAGAGAAATTAAAAAACCAGTTTTACTTCAAGCTCATGGAAATTAAACATGTTCAAACGAACTTCCTTCAGAAATGGAGCCCTGGGCTCCATCTATAAAGCCTCTGAAGTGGTGTGAGAGATCAAAAGGTGGGAACAGGTCAGCTCCTCACTGATGCATTGCCTAGAATCTAGGGGAATGACAAGGTAAAAATTTTCCTTCCCTCTAACTCATGCAAGGTCAGAATCCACTCAGCTACCAATGTCAGGTGCATAAGAAGTGGAGCAGGTGAGGAGGAAATCACTTACCATGCCATGGCAAAGAACTGTAAGATGCAGAAAAGGAGCGCGAGTCCTGCCTTATGCCACTGAAGGAATAGAGAAGGGGGGAGGAGGGAAGAAACACAGCAGAGACAACAGTGTAAGAATCTTATTTTCAAATTATACTCCAGTTATATTGACTCCAGATATATACACATATAGGATTCAGGTACTCACCCAAAAAGCAGAACACAGTGTTAGTATGAGGCACAACTAGAAGAAAACAAAGAATTTCCATTAAACATAGAAACAACTCCAGTTTTTATAGATACTGTAACACTGTAACAGGTTCCTTCACAGAGACAGAAAGGGATTACATAATTTCATTGTTTTATCCTATCCTGCATATGAGTTCCTCGTATTTAAAATGATCTTGCTTTCACATTTCTGAAACAAATTAAAGAAATTAGGAAATATCAGCCTGGTATCTCCAGAAAATAATTCTGTGGCTGCAAAGGGACATCAGCGGGTCCCTGCTTCATGCCACACACTTCTTGGTGTCATAGGCACACACCACACTTCATCATTTTGCATGAGTAAGATCAGAGTTGTACCTGAAGAGTCTTTCTGCCTCTGCATGTGCCACATTTCCTGATGATTACATGGTTACCACGGGGTTGAAGTTGAGTCATTACTAAATGTTTACCAACTACAACTGTGATACACTTTCAAGAACTTTGGGCTATTACTTAGTAGCTCTCCTGTTTATATATATGAAGTCCAGCCCAGTCATTCAAACCAGTGCTTTTTCTTTTTTCAGAGTTGCACTGTGTCTTTCTTTACTACAGTAAAAATCTTGAGGGAGTATTAGGCCCTTTTGGATTATTTTCTGCTTTAACCCTCAGTTTTAACAGAAGCTGCCTATTAGTTAAAAGTTTTCATTTTCCATTTAAGGCACAACAGCTCCTGACAGATGCTGATAATTCATCTTTCTTCATCAACATCTACCAGCCTTAGATACACATGTACCATTGTGGTACTAGAGATTATAATGTGCATTTTTCTGCTTGAGTGGGAAAAACAAAGATATAGTACTGCATATTCAAGACAGTAACACATGCAGTTCCAAAGAAATGATGCACTTCACCTCACCCATGATAATTGACTTTAGATGTAATTTTTCCATTAGTTTTAAGGTGGTGATTTGTATAAATACTGCATCATACATTTAACAACTGGCTTTATTCCAGAGAACAACATTCCAGGCATTCTCCTGACTTCAGGCATCCTAAATGCATACAAAACACATAACCACGCAGTAGGCTTCTTGCTTGGATCTGCAAGCATGCACAGTCAATTTCTCAAGCTCTGCAGCATCTCAGGATGTTTAAAGAGAAATTAGGAAGTGCTGATGCCAAGCAAACACTCTGAACACATTCAGACTGAAAATGGGAGGACAGTCTCATGCAAGTTATACCACCTTCCAGATTTTAGACTCACCAAGAGAAAATGGGAAAGTTGCAGAGACAAAAAAAAATTCACTTTAAGTCTGAAACTTAGCAGCAACTTCCAGGCACAGACACACACAGTAGGCTTGGTACAATTTCCATCTTCTGAAAATAAAAATAATTCTAAGGGCTGACTTCAGCTAAACATGGAATTTGCAATTTCATTCTGTCATACAAGTTTCAAAACCTGAAGCTATCAGCCAGCTGTGATGATTCCTGTATTTTTAATGCAAGGTGACCACGGCATAGAGTTCCCTCCGTTGCTTAGTCAGCAATAGATGATTTTATCAAGGTAGAAATATCTACACGGCTCTTTTAAGCAAATCAGATAGAATATAAAAAGACAAAATTATGAAAAATAAAATATCTAACAACGTCCATAGGAGTAGTTTCCCATCTTTCATTTTTTAGGAACTCTGTAAATACGATGTTGTGACCTCAAGCACCCTAAAAAAGCACCTGCATGGTACACACACACACCAACCACAGGCCCTTAATGCCCATTTAGCATAACAATCTGGCTTCCTCTCAGTCTTTTGTAATAGAGCTGGTGGTTTTCTGGCCCTACACTTACCTTTCCACTATAGTTGATCTGCAGGGTGTTTGATGCTTTAAGAAAAGAGAAAAAAAAAAAAAACACAAACACCACCCACAAACACATCCTGAGACATAGTGAGATCAATGCATATGAAAAGACTTTACAATGAATATTGTTTACAAGTTTGCATGAGTTAAAACTGACTCCTGTGCTACTTACTAGCATAACAACAGTAGCAATCAAACGTGTAGGCTCAAACATCCTTTTCAATTGTTTCATTGGTCCCATAAGAAAAAGAGTGCTGTGAAAAACAAACCAGGATGAATACAGAGGTAAGAAAGGCAAAAGTTAAACTAGATAAGATTAAACTGTCTGCTGTAATGCAGGACATAAGTACACTACAGAATATATGAGACAAAATCCATTCCTGCTTTTCTTTCTGCAGAGTATTTCTAATTTTATTCACACTTGTTCAGTTAAAATCAACACCAGCAGAGCAGAACTATCAAATTAGTAGCATAGGTCAAGGTCAGCTCCAGTTAGATCATTCTTGACAGATGCTTTTTTTAACCTGCTTTTCAAAAATGCTTTTTAAATCTGCTTTTCAAGAATTACATCCACAGAAGTTCTGCATGGATTGCCAGGTAATCCAGCTCCATTCCCCTATATAAAGGGCTGTTTTCAGGCCTGGATCCATTCTCTGATCCCTTACCAGATCTGCAGCCCTCATTTAGGGCCCTGGTGATGGATACTGCATGAATTATACAAGGTGAAACTTTTATCTGAAGTGATATTCCTGTCTCAAAGATGTTATTCTGCCTCATTAGTATATTACTTTCAATTCCATTATTTACACTTTCTAACATGATGCTAAGTTTCCTCTATCATAGAAAGTTGTGTCTGTCACAAAGTCTGTGGGGCTACGCTTCAGGAAACTTGAAGTCCCAACAAATATGCTTGCCCTGATAGACAAGACTGCCCCAAATATATTCACCAAAACACACAGAACATTACCAAATGTAAAATGGCAAAGAATTATTATTAACTTGGGAAGGAGGAACCAACAAAATCAAAAAACCTCAATGCTCAAAGCATGAGTTTGATTCTTCTTTACTGGTGAGTAACTTCTACCTTGAATGCATTACTAATAACAATAAAAAAAATTAAAATTTCCTTTACCATTTCAGGGCACAGCTGGGAAAATGCTTTACAATTCAACAAGAAAATTATCTACAAAAGCAAATCTCAGGCAAATGCAACAGCTTCTACCACTTATTAACACATATGCACTTTCATTCTGCTTTTGTTTCTCATCTTTATTATGGAACCAAATTATAAAGATTGTTACCTCCCAATAGACGCAATATTCCCCAGAGTATAAAACACTGCAAAGAGAATCAGCCCTTTCTTTGGTATCCATAGCAGACAACTACCCTAAAAAGGAACATTAGAGAGACAGGAGGGTGGAAATTAATAGCTTTTAAATTGAAAAAGAAATATATCCCAGAAATATCACATCACAAAAGAAACTTAAAAAAAATAAAAATAAAAACTTAAACCCAAATGGCAGAATCACACATAAAAAAGTAAATCACATTTATTAACATTTCTGTTAAGACTTAGTGTATCTAACAGGAATAGAGTCAGACGTCTTCCCAGAGACTCAGAAAAATCAAGCAACGGCACAGAGCAAGGCTGCAATCCCTGGGTTCCTGAAACTCAAATACTGGGGAGATCTGGCAAAAAAAAAGTCCTTACCAAGAGCGAGCACAGGCATCCTATTGCAAAACACGCAACGAAGCCTTTCACTCGGGTGCCCCAGCCTAAAGAAGTTGAATCAATAACCTGAAAACGAGGAGAAAAACAAAAGTGAAACTTATTCCCTAGTAGACCTTGCCTCCTATCAAGTGTGCAAACTTCCTCTCGGACGCTGTGTCCTATTCCGGCACCCTCTCCCGCGGCCCGCGGGAGGCGCGGGGGATGCGGCGGGACCGCCACCCGCGCTGGGGACCCGCGGGGTCCCGGCAGGGCAGGGGGGGCTGGGAGAGGGACCGCCCGCCCGCCCACGCCGCGACCGCCGGCACCGGCGACTTTCCCGCTGGGGCTGTTCCGCCGGCTCTCCAAACACACCGGGGAGGGGGTTGTTTGGGTGCCCCCGCTGTCCCCGCACACCCCCGGCCCCGGGCGGTACCTCGGCCAGGCCGCTCGGCTCCTCCGCGTCGCGGCCGCTCAGCACTCGCTTCAGCTTGTCCATGGCTCCGCTCCCCGCCCGGCCAGCCCGGCTGCCCTGCCCTTCCCCTCCCTTCCCCTCCCCAGGGACTACCAGCTCCGGCAGGCACCGCGCCCACCTGTGCTCCCAGGTACGGGAAGGCCGGCGGGGCGGGGCGGCGCGCGGGCTGACGGGGGATGTAGTCCGGATGTGGTTGGATCCCATCTCCTCCCATCCCTTTCGCGTCCATCACTCGGCAATAGCAAAGCTCATAGAAACAGTGATGCAGACTTCATTTCGCTCCCACTACTGTGGCTCCTACCCTGGTCTGAGAGAGTCTCCACTTTATTTTTGTAACTAGCCAGGGCGGTCTCCTGACAAAGGCTCGTGGATGCAACATCTTACTAGCAGGCAAAATTCGGCATCACAAGTAGTTATTTATTTTGCTCAGTTAAAAACAAAACTATAAAACATTTGGTACATTTTATTTCGCAACATACAAGAAACAATATAAACTGCCACATTAGACTTGCCACAAAACAGCTGGAGAATCCCCCCTGCTCCCTCCCTCTAAAATTATGTATCCAAAGTGGTAATTTTCTGTGGAAATTTTGTGCCAGCAAGCTCGAGGTACGCCAGCTTATGCTGCTGCTTCTTGGTAATCTGTGTGGCATAAGAAAGTCACAAAGTGCTCCAATTTTGAACTTGTAGTAACTGCAACTTCCTAAACATGTTCCTGTCATTTCCCCAATAGGTGTGGTTCCACTTAAATGCACCCAAAACAGATCACATATCTACATAGTCAGGATACAAGCCCATTCAATAAAACTGTATCAACAGGTCACAGATTAGGGTGTATGATGGACAAGATAAAATACACAGTATAAGCTAAACATGCAGAGTGCCCTTTTAAATGCTCGCTGTCCACTCCGTGAGTTTTACCCCCAACAGGTTTTAGCCCAATGGAGCTTACATTAGCATCACTGACCAAACCCAAATCACAGTTTCAATTAATTAATGCAGATATAGTTTCCTTCATGCTAGCACTACATAAGCTCTGCTCTCAGTCATTACCAGCTTTAAAGTTTGTTTTTATAAGCTTTATGGCATGTAAAATAATATATGCTTAGAGTAAATGAAGTGCCATGATTTACTTCTACCAGAAAAATACCTCTTCACCCCCATTTGTTGTTCCCTCTCTTTTCATTCTTTCCCTGTACACCTCTATCATTGGAGTGGACCTAAGTCATCTTCTATCACCAAATGAATTTTAATCCAATTTCCATGCTGCATTTATTTGCAGTCCCCTTCTTTTACCCTGACATCAAAATCTGTAGGAAACAATGCAGGAAGATGAAAAAAACCAACAGAATAGAGGACTGTAATAGGGAATATAGAGAATCTCACCTCTATTTCAAAGTGGCCATAAATTCAGTCACACAGACCATGTCCAGGTGACAATTTCTTTCAGAGACTGGTTAATTTCAGTTTTCTTCACTCATTTTATCCTATGGATCATAAGATATTTTGCAGTAATCCTTTCCAAAGGATTCCAAAGATAAGGCTGATGGTGTATTCAGAAAAAAAAATAAATTCTAATCAATAACTTTTTACAAACTAATCCCCACAGGCTCTCTGTGAGGTAGGCATATATTAACTCTCATTTTTACATACAGGGAACGGAGGCACAGAGAAGTGTCTTCCCCGTAGTTAGAGTAAATCAGTGACACAGGACACCAAGAAAACAGTCCCTTAGATGGCAGTAGACTGGGTCTTCTTTCCTAAAAACCTCAGGGTCTTCTATGTGAAAACCATTTCTCCAAAGATCTGGTTAAATACCAGGTTTTGAGGTGAGTTGTTTCTATTAAGTCATGCAGTGTAGAATATGAACATTTTGGAACAAATCCACCAAGACATCAGAATGCACAGACATTCTTATCTGTCATCACCTTAAACAGCCTGCTTTTCACTGCAGTGACTTGCTTCTTGCACTGAGAGTCAGCAGTACACTGAGACAAGCCTGCTCAGCTGCCCCATTCTTAGGCCAAACCATTAACATACTGTAGGATTTCCAAAAGCTATACAAATATTTAAGTTTAATCTAGAAAATGTTAAAACCATATTATACAAGTGATCACATTGCTATTGATATTAAAACTTAAAGAATTTTATAATAAACCAAAATTACGTATCTGGAACACTTCAGCATCCTTTTAAGGCCATACAGGATCTCATTTGTCAAACTGCAAATACAGCATCCTTTAGGGATTACAGACTAAACACCCTTGTCTTCCCTAGCCTCAAGCCACGCTGCAATTTGGCAATCTGATTGTCAGGGAAGTATAACCATCACACATGGGCACCATCCAGCGCATCCAAAAAAATGGTCAATGCAGAATAATGCATTTTCAATACTGTATGTGACTGGAGCAGCATCCAGATCCCAAATGAGAGTCTCCAGAACTGCCTAGAGAAATTTGGCCGACATCAGATTAAACTGCCTCACAAAGAAAGTCATTTTACCTTTATATAGTGTCAAACAAATCCTTTTTTTTTTTCCCTATCCCTAAACCTATCCTCAGATGAAATGAATATTCTGAGGTGAGACTCTGGATCAGAGACTGCAGAGAGTAACTTAGTTGGTTATCAGTTCACAGCAGGGGAAGCCAAGCAAAATGTGTAGTTTAGGACTGTCAGATCAAAATAAATGCAGAAAATTTTTCTTTTTTTTTTTTTTTTTTTTACTGTGGATGATTTCTCAATAAAAATAAATCATATCAATTTTACAATGCCAGCAATCTCTTAATATCTGAAGCAGCAATAACAAAATCTTCATAGAAGTGTTAGTGGCAGAGGGTCCAGAAAATACTCCTGCCTACTTGGTGAACTAAACAGAACCCAGACTTTTGTCATTTCTCCAGTGCCATTGAAAATTATAACTCACCACCAGCCTATCATCAATTCCAGATACAGGTTAAGAAAAAAACCCAAAAAAAACCAAAAAAAAAAAAAACACACCACCATTAGCAAAACCTGCTTGAAATGTTTTCTCTCAAGGCTACAGAAAAAATAGCCAAATTCTTCATTCCACTATTAGTGAAACACCCTCCATGGCAACGAATACGTGATCACATCATCCAGTCTACTTCAAGTCCATATAAAGTCACATTTATTTAGACTTAACACACATGGTTTCCAGTGATGCTTCTGGTTTAGGCTCCAGCTTCTCTGGGAATTCTAGTTTTTCACAGATTGTCTCCTTTATGGGTAGATACTGAGAGATCTCATTAGGTTCCGTGAACAGGGAAGGTGGAACGTGCTAAAAAGCAAAAATTTTGTATGAAACAAGTGAATGAAAGGAAGGGGGGAAAAAAAAAGTACTCCAAACCCAAACTTTTACAGACAATCTATAATTTACCTGATGAAACCACCTGAAGTCAGGTATGATTATTAAAATTTACCTTATAACTTCAAATGGACATACAGTCTTACTCCTCATGTGAATCAGTAAGCCAGGGAAAGGTATTTAACATTTTTAAGCAGCAGATTATAAGAGCACAAGAAAGTCAGAGACATCCATAAACAGCTACAATGTTTTTTAAAAATATATTTAAAATGTGAATGTAACAGTCTTTTCAAGGTTCTAGTTCTAGATGAGACTAGAATGGCCACAAGGGGTTCCCTGTCTTCTAGCCATTGCGATATATTCCCTGGAATTGCTTGTATTTCACTATTGATAACTGATCAATTTTAACATGTATCTTAGCTTTATGAAGTTCACCACAGACACATATATTTTATACTAAAACTCCCTGGATTTTAATTTCATATTTTAAGAAATAAGGTGGTTTCATTAAGTGAATCAGCATCTTCCTCTGGAGATCTCTGTAGAAAATTTCACCATGTACAAGACATGTGATGGAAAAAAATAAATCTATACTGAACAAATAACCTCCAAACTTTCTAACAGCATTCTTTAAGAAGTGCACCCAGAGCTATTCAAATGCAACCTGCACTTTGGCTACCCTTGCCATGCAAGGAGCCATACTGCTGTTTTAATTATTTCAAACCTCAGTGAAGCAGGAATCTTTTCTGCTTTACCTATGGCAAGCTAACCTAGGGAACTGAAGAGCCATATGTATTTCCCCTCTATAACAACAAGAAGGAAAAGTTACTTAACAGTATAGATGATAATTTTTAAACATGAGGTGAGGTAAAACCTCGATCACTGATTAATACCTAAAAAATCACAAAACTATTCAAAAAGCTCATGTCTGGATTTAGCCCTGTTTCTAGGGATCATATATTGTTAAGAAATGATACAGGACCCCTCTCCTCACAAGACAAAAAGCATTTTGCGGAAACATTCCCTTGAAAGGTTTAGCAACACATTAGTCACTTTTTACAAGTGAAAGAAAAATAAGGGAGAAGGAAAGTTACAAGAATATGAACGATCGGGTGCTGGGTCAAGAATAAAAATCAACAGTTGCAACTCCAAATGTGCCACAAATTGTTCTGAGCCATTCCTAGAGTTTGAAAGTAATCTATTACTTATTTGAGAAAAACTGAATGAGTTTATTACCAAACAGACCTTAATCCCTAACACTACCTGCAAGCATACAACCAGGCCTGAAATTGAGCATCATGGGACATGGAATATCTGATTTTATGCCTGAAGAGTTCTATGAAAAAATAATTAATAAAAACCCTTGATAACTCAAAAGTAGAAAAAGTAACCCAATCCCATCTCTTGCCATGTGATCTGAACATTTACAAATGCAAATCCACCCGGAAATCCCTAAAATAAATGCTGCATAAGTAGAAAGATTTTTCCTCTCTATCAATTCCAGACCTAACAAAGAATGACTTACAGTATTTTCTATGCTGACCATAAAACAAAAAAGCAGACAGAAAGAAAAAAGAAAGTAAGTTTAAAGAAAATGCAATACCTTTAAACTTGATATTTTGCTTTCTCTGGATGTGTATTCTCGCAACATGTAGGTCTTGTCAGCCTAATGGAAAAAAATTATCATCTGATATTAGTGTAAGCCAAGCATTTAAAATACACTGACTTTAGTAAGCATTTGAATTTGGTTGACCACAGATTTTCATCTGGGAGCAGAAATGTATATTCAAATTCACAAAGACAGAGAAAATTAATAGTAATGTTCTCTTTTCCAAAAATCATCTTTCTGTGTGAATGTATAAAAAAAAATGCTATGACTGAATATGCTTGTTAATCTTTACTCAACTAGAACTTCTCCATCAGTACAAATACAGTTAGACAGAACAACCAAACCACTTAAAT